ACCACCAAGTTTTGATAACTTCGTCAAAAGAATTTGCAATAATAGTTTGGTCAAAGAGCGGAATTCGCTCCGAGTGACAATTAAGTTTTACGTCGTCCCTGACGCAATCGGATACTAATTGATTCCCCGCAGTGTCGCTACTTTTATGATTACCACTACCACTCCCTCCCCCCAACGCCCGACAATAGAAATACAAGTAGGCGGCCCCGATCGAGTTGAACAAGGATGAAGAGGAGTATCGAATCGATCGAGAGCGCGCGACTCGTATTTCCCACTGACGACGAGTGTAAATTCCGCTCTCGCTTTCGTCCAAGCCCAATCCTAAAAATAAATACAAGCGAGGATCCATGTCGTTACTCTACCCCCCTCTCCTCCTCCTCCTCCTCCTCCTCCTCCTCCTCCTCCTCTTCGCCTCCATTCTCCGCGGCACAAAAGGCGCGGAGCGAAAGAGAGGCATTCGCGAGCCTTAGACGTGCCAACACCTCCTTCGATTAAACGCGAGCCACGGGAAGAGCCATCATAAAACAATCAAAACAACCAAAACGCACACAGGCAGAGAAACGGAAATTATGAAGTTGAGGGGAAAATGTTGATTAAGCGTTAAAGGAAGCGTTCCGTAAAAGTGATATCGGCCGATCCAGAATGGAGCGCGTAAAGGCAAAGGTCGATCGTCGTCGCCTTGATTATGATCTCGCGATATTTCTTTAAGGCCGTTTCTTTCATTTATTGACAATTCGAGCGGGCAATTAGCGGGACCTATGCGTTCCATCTTAGCCCCATCGCCATTATATTTACTTTCCGTGGCTTATTATTACAATTTCTTAATTGTTTCTTACTACCCCCGGCCCTGCGACTCGTGGCACTACAAGCTTTTCGAGCCTTAAATTTATTGGCTTGTTATATTATATTTCATACCCTGGAGTTTCATCTTCGGGTAGTTGATTTTTTTGTTTTTTGTATTGTTTTGTATTGTTTTGTATTGTTTTTTTGTTTTTGTGAAATGCATCGGATGATCGCGATGTCGGGATTCAGGCATTTGCGTGAGCGCAATAATTTACGAGGAAACTTAGCGGATTCGATATGAAAGTTCAAACGTATGCTCGACGATCAGACGCAATGATTAAGTTATACATCATGATCTCGGCGCACATTTTTCTAGCCGCAAATTTAACATTTTCCAAGTGATATATGAGTGAAATGTTGTCAGTGCGAGAGTAAATCACGAGCGTGTTTTATTTGTCGCGTTGTATGTCAGCCGTGCTAATGCGAATGTATGAATTTCTAATTGAAGTGAAAGTGAAAAACGTTAGTGGGACAGGGGAATGAGCGCAACGGCTAAGATAAGTAATTGTAAATATTATGAATTAAGAGCGTTGCACGGTGAGCGAAATATACACGATCTAATTACATTAGGAGCTTGGAGAAACGAATTGTCGATTAAATTGACAATTTCTCATTTCCCCCGAGGACTTTGTAGCTTTTTCTTTTTATAACAAATTCAATTACATAATATCAGCTCGTTTTTATTTATAATATTAATGTAATGAGGAACAGTTTGGAAGTGCATGTCATCGATTATGTCACTTGTAATAAATGATTTAATTTTAGCTAAATAAATAAATCATGAATATTAGAGAGAACTTTTAAAGCAATGTGTGTTGGTATGTACGGTATAATAGTTTGCATTTTTAAGAACTTATAAAAAAAAAAAAAAAAAAACCAAAAAAACTAGGGATTACTTACTAGTTATATTTTATTTAATCGAGAGAAAATTCGTATAACTCAATGTTAAAATTCACTATTTTTTTAATCGAATATAAGCGTTGGACATCAGTTTAATATTTATTCGTCGTTAATGTTGAATGAATTTTTAAAAATTATAACTTATAATTTACAAATTGATAAATATAGTTGTTTCGCTCAATTTCGCAATATTATTAGCCTACAATTATTTAATACCAATTGATATTAAAATCATGTAAATTATATCGAGTAAAAAAGCAATTTCCAAATTAAACAACGAATACGCTGATGCTGCAATAGCTTGTCTGTTTTAAGATTTTGTTTGAAGCTTGTGGAGAAAATAATGCATGATTAATTATTCATAAGGGGGAGGGCGTATATTTTTACTTAATCTTATATTTAAATTTATAATGTCTACAATTTTCCTTACATTAACTAGAAAATTATAATCATTCGACTCACGTGGTTAACACTCTTAGAGCAGCAAGAATTTACGTACCTCACCTGTAAAGACAACAGAAATAAAAACAAAAAATTAATAAATATCACAATATCACATAGACGTTACAGTATAAAATAAAAATTTACCCTCATTCATCCAAATATTCATCTAAATTATAATGCTTCCAATTGATATATCGACAGCGCAATATAACATCTTTAAACGCATGCGAATATCAAATGGCGAATAATTACGTATAAACATATATATAGATTATAGTCTTTTATTAATTTCAATGCGAACGAGAAATTTTATCTCGATAGCACGCATTAATGTTGTATTAAAAAAAAAAAAAAAAAAAAAAAAAAGAAAGAAAAAAAAAATCATTTTCCAATACTTTCAATTCGAATTCTTTACTGTGTTAGATCTTTATAACATAACTTTCTTTCAATGTTAGGCAGATCGTATGAGTAGAGTTAAAAAAAATAGATATGAAACATTCTGTACAGTTGGTAGCCATACTTTCGAAGCACATTCGTGCGGAACATTATTGTTAATGGATTATGAGACTTACGAGCAAGTGATTCACATCTCACCAAAAGGCGAATCCACGACGTGACGTTCACAAAACGCTTGGTTGGTATGTATTTTCTTGAGCTATTTAAGCTACATGGAGAACGAGAGCGAGAGACAAAGGAATGATGATAGTGAAAGAGAGGTAGGTAGAGAGGGAGAGGGACAGAGAGAGAGAGAGAGAGAGAGAGAGAGAGAGAGAGAGAGAGTATGCGCGAGTACATATATACAGGAATATAAGAATTTACATTTAAATTTTTAATATTTTTGAGTCTCGTCGTTTATTTGTTTAAACGATTATTGTATTCGTACAAATTTTATCCAGCTTAACGTGATCAGTTGGATAATTATTCTTATTCTTCAACATATACCGAACGAAAACTGTTAATTATGTCGTTGATACCACTGAAATCCTTAAATAAAACGGCGTTGATATAAGTTTACGCTTACTTTTATAAGCCTAAACTTGCGCATACTTGTTATACGGATAAATAATAGACGGGGAATAACTGCGCTTTAAGCTTGAAACGTAAAATACAATCATAACAAAAAGAAGGTAAAGTTAAAGTATTAAAATGATAATATTTATTCCCATTTGGTTCAATTAAGAGCGGGATATAATGCGCACGCGCGTCGCTTATTAAAAATAACAATTACAAAATCTTAACAAAGAATCCGCTAGGTATAATAGCTCTGCTTTATAAATCCGTTAATCTATTTAGAATGATATTTACCTTCCAATGCGTCTAAAATAAGCTGCATATCGACGTATATCGATGCTTCGTCCTTGTAAATTTAGTTTTAATTTCGAATGATTAATAATCTCGCCCACCGACGGCACGACGATAAACTATTATTTTCTTTTTTCTTTTCTTTCTTTTTACAGCTACGTTCAAACGTAAATCCCAATGCTAATAAGCATAGAAGAGCTTGGCTGATGAGATAAAAATATTGGAGGAGGAGTCGAGTCGTGGTACCGTTGGAAATGTAGAATTATTCGGGTACACGGGATATAAGGTAAGGCTACTTTTGTGTTTGTGGAGCGAGTGTACTTTTGCAGGTAAGAAATAAAGTGACCATACATATGAAAAAACAAGTCAGATATTATGCAGAAATGTATAACGGAAGACATTGCTCAAAGTGCCTATTATTCCAATAACTTTTAGCCCGATAGAATTGCCCAGAAAATCTTAAAGCATCCACATAATACATGTACTTGGCTTCGGAGTGAAACGAACTTTGAATATTTAATCGCTAAAGATTTACATTTACGTTCACGAGGGGACATGTGTCTTCACATTACTCAACACGCGTACACTCTGCTAACAATAAAACGCTTAATGTTCGAATGCTCGTTGTTTTCTTTTCTCCCTTTATCCCCACCCCCTAATCGCCAAGTATATCACCACCACCAACCACCCTCCTCATACGTAATGCGTCCATACAATTAATTAATAATACTCGAGTAATCGAGCGCATGCTAATGCTTCATTAAATAAAACATGTTCGTTATAAAATTGCCTATGCTTTAAACGGCGGCACATGAGCAATGAGAGTGAGAAAAATTTGAGATTAAAAACGAATCCTCTTTGTCGAGGCTCTCGAATAAAATTATAATTACACCAATTATCGTCGGCGATTGCCTAGTGATTGAAAATCAAGGTTACCGGGCGCCGCCTCGGTTCCACTATAATCAGTCAGCTAAATGTTCCGCCCCTTCCCCCTTCCCCAAACGGTTCCCAAAATACCTCATGGACGTACGTTCGCGGCTCGTTTTACGCTCCAGACGTCAGGAATCCGCAGCCACCGTAATAATAAGGGGTAAGAAGAAAATATGCGCGTCAGCGAGAAGCGAGCCGCCGGCGAAAATAATGGCTACTTCGCCGTCCACGTTCGTCAGGAGTCCTGTGAAGCAGGTCTGGGACCCTGAATGGGGCCGTCATGTCGCGAGGCAATCGTGAGCCCGAGTCCTCCCCCCGCCCGCCCACCCCCATCCACCCAACCCCCCCCCCCCCCACCCCCATCCACCCAACCGAGTGGTATTTTCGCGGCGCCGTAGCAGGGGGTAGTTGTTCGTTAAGATCAGGGATCGTGTGCGCACGAGGAAACGACACGACGAGGAAACTACTACGCCAGGATTATTCTGCCATTCGAGTCACATTATACCGTCGGTGGGCATTTTCACGGGCATTTCGACTAGGCTGAGGGGCCCAATCGTAGTTCCGTACTGCAATGGAGTGCTGGAGTGCAGGAGTGCAGGAGTACAGGAGTACAGGAGTGCAGGAGAATTGGTACAATGTAAGGGGAAGGGGAAATTTGGAGAGAGAGAGAGAGAGAGAGAGAGAGAGAGAGAGAGAGAGAGAGAAATAGTATAGGGTGGTATAGAGTGGTAGGGGTAGGAGTAGCGGTTAGAGATTCTTCGGACGGATGAATGATCGATCACGGCAGTTTAAGACTATGCAAATGGGACGAGCGTCGCGCACATTCGCGATTGTCCGGAAAAAATTACGATTCCTCGTCGAAGGTCATGCGGTGAGACTCCACTTTATCTGGCAGATTGATTTTCGAGCGATCGCTCAAGCTTACATTTCCTTCTTTTATCCGACCGCATCTTGCCGTTTATGAAAGGGAAAAAGGGGTTAGGAATGAAAAGGCTGCTGTTACTGCTGCTCCTCGAAAAACAAGGATCTCGTGCACCGTTAATAATGTGACGTACGTGTGCTTTCGAGTTTCAACGAGTGAAAGTTTACATCTTTTTGTTAAAAAATACTTTACCTTCGAGCTTTTTAATGCTGCTCGCGAGTACGCGTTGACAAAACAGCATCGGCAGGGAGTAGCGTCTCTCGGATCTTGTTCATTTTCAAAAATACTCGCCCCCCTCCCCCCGCCCCACAAACAGATTGGGTATTATAAAAATTATCTAGACTCGAAGTGAATGTCTTTGCTCGAGGAATCGCCGTCAACTGAAAAATGAGAAACTAGTGGCGGGTAAATATAAAGTCGTTGCGTAATTGTGCTTGAAGAATTAAAAGTAATTCGTGGCTGCGTCCAAATAGACGACAGTTTCATTCAATCGACTATATCTTTAAATTACAACAATATTGAGAAAAACAATATGAATATTGTTTCTATTCTTTTTTTCATTTTTTTTCCTTTTTAATATTAATCCATTCAATCTATTCAATATTAATAATGGCAATTGAGTCGATAAATTTGTTGTTAAAGGAAAATTGGGAATAAAGATCGCCCGAGCCCATGTGTGCCCATGTGTATCGCTGTATTGGTGTAGTTTGGACAGAAGATGAAGAAGAAGAAAAAATTAAATATTCCAATTATCTAAAGTATTAAAGTGAATTTTTTTTTTAAGAACTCGGGACGGGACTTTTTCAATAAAAGAAAAATCTAAATCAATATAAACTGCCGCGCTTATAATAACTACAAAAACATTAATTGTCCGTATTAAAGTGAATCTGGTGTTTTAAGATCATCATTAGATCATAAAAATTGAGGAAAATAATAATCATTTTCTATCTTGGAAATGTTTGACATTGAATTTTCTCGTTAAATTATTTGTTCCTTCATTTCTTAAAAAGCAAAAAAAAAAACAAAACTAAGAATAAATAAATCAAACACTAATTATCTTATTGTACATATGATTCTTACTCTCTGCTTAATAATTTTTTAGAGCAACGAAGCCGTTGTTGTGTCGATTTTCATGCGAGTCGAAAACTCCTCTCGCACAATACAAATATCTCATCGTTCTCTCTCACCGAATTCTTCTTCTCGTCAATTTGCAACGCTCGACTTTTCTCTAACAACGGTATACAAAATCTTTCGCTATCTTAATTTAATCTTAAGTCAATCGTTTCCACGGTCGATGGTAATTGCGCGTCGTCGAGCGAAGTCACAACTCTTCGATAATAAAATGGACGTTTGTGGCTACTATGTGGACTATAAACCTAGACAACTTCTTGGCATTAACGTTATCCTCCCCGCTCTCGCCACCGCCATCGCCACCGCCTCAAGTTTATTGTAAACAGCATTTTAAATAGGATTCTAGTGGATAAATTAGTCAAAGTAATTGGAATTTATGTTTCACCCCGTTCGCCGCGTACTCCTCTGCTAAAATGACACTCGCATTGTCCGGCTGATGATGCACCAGCACTGCCAGCGTATACGCATTGACCTTTAGATTTATCGGATTCGAATTCCGCGCAATCCGAGCCCTGATCCACCGCCAAGACAGGAGCGAGCGACGAGTCGAGTATGCGAACGAGTCCCGAGTGATTCGCTACGTACGGCGTCGCCGAAAAATGCGCCGGCAATGAGATCATAAACGGCACATGTCCGTTGGCCACGGCGACGAGCCGAGCGAAAGCCGAGAAGTAAGAGATCTTGGGTAGGCGGGGGTGTCACACACACGCACGCACACGCACGCGCGCACACACACACTCTCTCTCTCTCTCTCTCTCTCTCTCTCTCTATCTATCTATCTATCTATCTATCTATCTATCTATCTATCTCTATTTATCTATCTATCTATCTATCTATCTCTATTTATCTATCTATCTATCTATCTATCTCTATTTATCTATCTATCTATCTATCTATCTCTATTTATCTATCTATCTATCTATCTATCTCTATTTATCTATCTATCTATCTCTATTTATCTATCTATCTATCTATCTATCTATCTATCTCACTCACATACCGTTTGCCACGCGCGACGGAACGATATCAATTACGGATCGAGTGACGGGGAAAGTATAACCGCGCGCACACGTACAAGCCGATGTGGTTGTGTGAGTCGGGCACGGGGTGGAGGCAAGGCACTCGTGACGACGCCGTCGATGCATCACTATGCGCTAGCTCGAGGACATGAATGAAGGAAAGCAGAAGCGCGAATGAATGAGAGGGGCCGGCACTTACGAACCAACCGAGGTGCTGCATGAAAATTACTCGGTTTCTATGTTACCGCTTGCCCGAGTGTCTACTCCCCTCTACTCCCCCCCCCCAACCATCCACCCACCCACCCACAACCCTGTACAAAAAAATGCGTCCGCACGCAGACACGAATGGACGACCGGTGCGATTGCCCAACTCCCGTCGAAAAGTGTCCCCACTGGAACGA